TAATAATCCCAACAAATTGAATTTCCGTGCCCGGCTCTGCTTATGCATTCCTGCGGTGGGCTTGCAGTGGGACGGCCCGTCGGAGAAGCAGCATGCAGATGAGAGAATGGCTCTGCCTCGCCGGCTGCAGCACACAAGCAAATGGAAAGTGAAGGCTCCACTGAGCACACGTGGTTAAGCAGGAGAGGTGTGGAGGAGAGGCGCCGCCTTCATGCTCAGTGGCTAACTAGCAAATCCAGACTAGGTGGGTTTGCTCTCCAGACACAGTCTGCTGAAAGAGAGTATGACCATGAGCACCTAGTCCCCAGACTGTGACAAGCGTCAAGAAATATGCAGTGAGAACAATATTAGTCATGAGAAATGTGGCTGTGATTTATCTTTACTATTCAGGTTTGAATATTAAGAAAGGTTTCAGAAGACACTATCTTGGTCGCCCATGTGCTCTTGCAAACATTTCATTTCCTCACGGAGGATGCAGCCCTTTTTTTCCCTGCTTTCCCTTCTGTCCCTCCACCCCCCTTAATATTTATGTGTGCTTGATTTAATCAGATATGAATGAGAATTTTCAGGGGGCTTGTTGGCATTCAAAATAGCACCCATTCCCACTGCGCATCAAAGGCAAAGTGTCTCAAGTGCATTGTGCCATCATTGTGTATTCCTCCCTCTCCATTTCAGTCAGCACACCAAAGGCACTTATCTTTAGACAATAGGGGGCTTTGTGGCTCTTTTTAGCAGGCCTGATGGAATTATCTGTACATGGAGTGGTCATTGGAATAAATACATTCATTTCCTGTAGTAGATTGACAAGTGCGGCTACAAGGTTTCATTTGATCTGCAGCAGGTTACACTCCTGGACTTACATGAGAATTACCCTGAGCACTTCGCAAGAGCATTCTTCGACATAGCTACAAGTGCATTTGGTTCTTTCGGAATGCAGCAGTGGGAATAAGATGATAAAAGGGATGGGCAAAGGAATGACATCACGATACTTGAAGACATTTTCAGCGTACACAATAGGCATCACGACATTTAGTTTTTCAGAAGTTGGAATGGGCAGTGTGCACCAGAAAAACAGTAGTTCCACAAAGGCTATGAAAGACTGTGGGTACAAAGATGTTTTTAATTCAGTGTTTGAAAACTTTGTTAAGGGGAATTCCACAGGTTTTAAAAAATTCTTAAATTTAATAGTTGAGATGTAAACAAGGTCATTCAGAGTGGCTTGATTTGAAATGGTTCATTGTAGAGAAACGTACTGACTCAGTTTCTTTACAGTGGAGGTGATTGGAACCAGAGGTCGCAAAATAAAGTATATAGCCACTTTATTTACTATGCAAAATGACCAGTGAAACTACACATATCTTGTAGTTTTTGGAGTTTAGAACATATATTTTAGGCCAAAACCGTACCTCAAAAGTATCGGTATACAATGTCTCAGACATCAGACAGTGTATTCATAACCATTTTGTGTGAAGACTTTCTTTGATATAACTTTTAGAGGCATTAAAAACATCTGGTTCCTATCACCACCACTGTGACCGATTCTGACTCGGTAAGTTTCTCCAGAAGAGAGCATTTCACAACAGACCACTCTTACTTTGTTTACATCCTAATAATTTATTTTTAGGAATTTAGAAACATTCAATGGATTCCCTATTAATAAAGAACAGGATATAATCTCAAAACTCCTAGTGAAATGAATTATTGAGACAAGATCCTGGCACGATGGGCTGACATCCAGTCAGCAACCTGTTCCTATTTGGTTTATGGTTGCTATATACTGGTTGTTGTTGTTTACAGGTCCTATAAAAATCTGTCTGTTTTATAAGATGCATGCAGTTGTTCAACATTGTAGAAGTACTAACCAGATTCGCCATATACTCAGAAAAGCATATTTTAATGTAATCTATCGCAGTAATGGTAACACACTGTCACATTGCCCACTTCTAGATGATTGTGAGACGCATTGTTCTGAAAGAGTGAAAGTAAGAGAGACTGATATTAACTGAAAAATGCATTGTTCCTCTCATCTTCACAGCATCAAAGAACAATAAGAATCACAATGCGAGAAAACTTGAGTCAAGCTGTCAGGCAAGGGCTGCCAGCGAAGAGAGGAAATGTGCTTGATGAAAAATGCATTGATACTGACAGCAGTAGCGCAGTACATTAAAACAAGGTGTTCTTTGCCCCTGGTCATGCTGATTCCATTTGGTTGTGCCGCTTCCTGGGTCTATTTCTGTATTTACAGGCCACCGCAAGGCTCCCGCATTTGTCAGGTTTTATGCCGGAGCTCTAGTAACTGATGTGAGGGCTGATTACAGAGTGCAACCTTTAGCTTTAGATTCAAAAGACCTCCATAAGCAGAAGTGTTTTTGACTCGACTTGCATTCAGGCATGTGTTCGGTCGTTAAGATCTTGACTTTTTGTGCGTTACTAAAAAGGGGACGGACCCATAGGTGTGCCTTGTAAAAGAGAAAGCTGGAAGAATCAGGATAATTGCCCAAGTCAGCACGAAGAACAATGAGTGGGATCTCAATGGGGCAACTATGTATTGGTGTTGGTGTGAGGTGCAGTGGAGATGCCATAGGCACACACTTAACCCTCACTCTGCCCTCTCCATTCAGCAGCTTTGAGGCTCCAGGAAGGTGAGCAGCTCTCTGAAAATGTCTTCAGGCATGACTTCTCTCTTCTGTTGAGACGGTAAAGAGAGAGAAGTAGACAGAAAGAAAGGAGAGGAGGGAGGGCGAGAGGGAGAATGGACACCAGTGGTTGGTGGAAGGGAGGTGGGGAGAGAGAGAGAAAGAGGGATGTCTGAGTGACTCAGTGGATGCACAGTGGGGAATAAATCTCACACAGATTATTTATGATAAACATGTTTTGTTTCTGTGTCTTACGCAGAGTTCAGCATGTCCAACAGCGTGTGTTTGTCCTAATTACTTAGATTATGGATCTCACATCAGCAAACCCTTTATGCAGCCAAGAAAAACAACATTTTCAATGAGATGTCTTCTATCACTAAGAACGAGAACACTTTATTTTGATGGTCCACTGTAAATGATTTGTAGCTGTTGACATCTGTTCAGTTGAATTTAACTTTTTCTAGCCCTAAACACTCACTCTAAACCAAACCTTAATCCTTTAATCTCAAACCAACAAAGTGGCTATTTATACCTTTTAATCTACTCTTCTTTTTTAATCACAAGATTTCTCAATCCTGTTGCTGCATTTACTTTAATATGTGAATAACAAGATCTAACAGCCAAAAATTCACCAATTTTTTTTGTATTCGTTTTACAAACTAACATCTTGCACAAGCAAACATATGAATAAGACAGTAGGAAATCCTTAGGACCTTCTAGATCTTCAGGGGAGGCCTAATGATTTCAGTGAAATAAAAACTACACATCTGTATTTTTAGTTTATTTTTATTTAATAGAATTATCATGTTAGTTGTATTAAACTAGGCAAGATTTTAGTATTATTCGTGTTTCATTGCTAAGCTTTGGTTTGAAACAATCATGAAACACCCAGTGGAAAATTGTCCAATCAAGGCTTTTTTGGCATGATATTCTGTTCTGAAAGTGCACACAAACATGTTCAGAAATCTTACATCCATCGATGAAGACAATGTTGTGCACCTTTTATATAGTGATAAAAAACATAGTAGCACAGCAAAAGCTCTAATTTCAATTGCTGATGCATTTAACTATACCCACATTGCAATTAGTCTGGGGCAGATTTTTACGAGTTAAAAGGGACAAAGCCTCTGACTGTATTGCTGGTTAGATGCTAGGAATGATAGGGTTAACTTTAACCAGTGATCCCTAATCCTAATCCTAACCCTAAATCCTAAAACCTAAGTCCTAAATCCTAACACTGTTGTTCAAATGAGTTCCACTTGAGAGTTTGTTAACAATTGAGCATTTGTAGATAAGCCAGGACAGACTGTCAAAGTAAAGTGGATCTGATGTTTACAAGATTGAATACGCTCCCTTTTATGAAGAATTACGTCTCATAACCTCTTTCATTGTCATGCTCTCTTGACATTTGACCTGATCAGCTGAAATATTGCGGTTCAGCAGCCAGGGAACCCCATAACGAACTTGGCCAGAGTAAAAGGAGAAAAATGTCTTTCATCTCCACAGGTGTGGGATGTAATAAGATCAGCTGGCGATCTCTTAAATGTTGCAGAAACGTATTTCTAGCTCCAAAATTAAAAGTGGTGCTGGGCTTTGTTCAGGACCTGGGGGGACCTGCCAATTTGTGGAAAAACGTTTTTATCTAGTGACTGAAAACCGTCCTCGGTTGTTGCCTTCGGATGTGTCCTGCATGGTGGCCTCTGATTCCTGATGGCACAATAAAAACAGACCCCATACTTATTTCAGCATCATTTGTATGCGGTGAGAAGGAACTAGTATACAGCACAAATTGATTTGTCTGAGATTTGAGGGCGGCACTGCAAGGATGTGGGGTTTTTTTTGCTTTTCGATTGAAGTCTGTTACACGCTGCCCCACTGTTGTGGCACTAAGAGGTCTCTTTTTAAAGTCAAAGCTTTGTGCCTGTGTTGTAAGAAGAGGGAGAAGGAAACCTTGGCCGGGAGATTGAAGGTTGCTGTCGGTTGTCTGTAGCTCAGTAAGGTGCGGTTCCTCGCTGCATTCGTGCCTGAGAACTGGTGCCTTTTTTGATGACCTTTTTATGATTGAGCCTCTGAACTCAAGTGAGGCACACCACAGGAAGCGCCAGGCCCTTTTTGGACAGATGCTCTCTGATTATGCATGGATTACACAGTATGTAGACACAGCAGGTCTCATTCCCCCTCCCTCGCAGCGTGTTGGTGGTCAGTGCAAATTGGAAAAGCCGTTGAACTGATGATCCGGAATATTGGCTTCAATTGGGAGGGTGTGTTGGAGAGTGGCTCCGCTAGGGTCTTGGAACATTAAGAGGGGTACAGATGCTGCTTCGGCTTCCTAATCACGCCCTTCTCTTTCATCTCTCTCTGCAGGTGACGTGGCCCCTTACTTCAAAACGGAACCGGGGCCTCCGGAAATCCACCTGGAGGGAAACCGTCTGGTCATGACCTGTCTGGCAGAGGGCAGCTGGCCTCTAGAGTTCAAATGGATGTTCAACAGCACAGATATCACTGCCTTTTCCCCGGAGTACAAGTGAGAACCTGCCTTCATCTCCAGCCTTCACCGCAGGAGAGGTCTCACTTAGACAACTGCCTTAAGGGGGGGGAAACAGGTCACATTTAACATGGGGAACTAATTCATTGCCTTCCAACTCCATGCAGCCTCCTTACACAGTGACTTGTGTTACACGTATTCGCTATAATCAAAAATACATGCTGCTGTGGGTGGCTGCTGTGATTATTATGTGGTGTCTTACGCCAGTGTCGTTAGTGGTCCATGTGATATGTTGTGTTTTTACAACATATCACATGGATCACTGACGACACTGGTTCACTTATTTTTATTTTCAGTTTATTGCCCAATTTATCTGCTTTTGGATAAAAAATTCATAACTTTTTTCACGCTCCCATTTCAGGATCACACTTTGTAAAGTGTCAAAAAGCTTCACATGTTTCGGCCAGTTATTTAATGTCCTTTGATTGAGGAAAAAAATGAAAGCGCAGGAAATTAAAATGAAAATTTAATTAACTTTTCCTGCACTGATTACTTGAGTTTATGCAATTGCATGTTTAATCATTCATACAGTTTTTAATTCCACTACTTGCTCTCCATCGTATTTCCATTTCTGGAGAATAATGCAGTCTCAGCTGTGCTCTTTAAAGTCAGCTCGTGAGCTGCGCTAGCTCTAAGCACTTTCTTAGCCATACAGATGGGTAAAACTGATGAAGTATCAGGCCCAGTGTACTTCCTTTGTCTTTATGTAATAGCTTGTGGCTGGAGACGGCTTTTCATGGTTGGATGACGCATTCGAATGCTTTTTTACCTGTGAGTGCAGTGCATTTGATTCCTGCTTAGTGTCGATTTGCATTGCTTCACTTCTTTTACCCTGCGCCGCATATTTTTTATGGAAAAGGGAGAGTTTGTCCGTCTGTAGACTTCACTTGTCTAATTGGTATTGCTTTTCCAATTATCCTCCATCATCGGCACTGGAGCAGCACTTTTTGAGCAGCACTGGGGTTCCTATTGACTCTCCCTGGAGAAGGAGACTCCCTCAGAGACAATTCAACAGCAGCGTTTTGGAAGGCATGAGCGGATCCGGGTGAGGAGGGAGACGCAGCACATTAGCCGCATTTGGAAATACCGGCACGTTTTAATGCATTGTTTCCACGGGCGCTAATATCAGGGGAAGTGGCCATTTGGCACAGGGCTGATATTTGTCATCGCGGGCGAGAGCTGGGTGGGAGTCTAATGGCATTTTAATGATTCGCTTGCTCTAATGCGCAGGTTGGCAAAAAGGCCTGGCCTCGACTGCAAGGGTAAACCTTTTAACCCGGTCCCTCTAAGTGAGAACGCACTTAGAATCGAAATCCCCTGCAAGTGTCTAAATGCACTGACAAATATCAAATTGGCATAGCACTGTGCTTATGTAAAAAGAAAGTCATGAGGTGATGGGTATGATGAAATTTACCTGCAAAAGTTAGTTATATGTTCTCTCTTTTTCATTCGTTCCCTCTCTCTCCCTCTCTCTCTCACTCTCAGGTACATTGTTCCATCCCTGCAGCGCTCAGACATGGGTACATACCAGTGCGTGGTGAGGAACAGAATGGGTGCTCTGCTGCAAAGAAGAGCAGAAATACAAGTGGCATGTGAGTGTGTGCGACTGAACAGTGGAGTGGTTCTCACTTCCTATCCCAGGGACTCCATGTGCTGCATGTTTCCGTGTTGTCCATGCTTATACACTTGATTCAGCTCATGAAGGGCTTTATAATTATCTGATGAGTTGAACCAGGTGTGTTAACAGCGCTTGGGGTCTTACAGGGGGGACCCCTCAAGGACTTCTAAGCCTTCAGAGAAGGCCTAATAGTTTTTGTGAAAAAAAAGTAGTTTTTGGTTCATTTTTGTTTGATAGAATCATCATTCTTGTTATATTTAAAAACTTGTTGTATTTAAACTCTTACTTTATAGTTGAGCTTCGGTTGAAAATAAAAGGGTTAAATTCATGAACTGCCCAGTAGAGAAACTATCCAATTTTTTTTTGTTTCTCTGTGGTATCTAGGTAGATTCAGCCATGCATACTCTCCCATTAGGAGGAGCTGAACCAAAGGCATAACATGTCAGATTAACCAGTAACATAATTAAAGTGACAGTGGAATCATCATTTTGATTTACAATGATTGGGACCAATTTTATAATAAAAAGGTCACTCTAGGCCACTTTGTGTCTTGTCAAAACAATATTAAAATATAGAATGTATTTTATAACATTAGTCTACAATTTGTTACTAAAATACTTCAAAAATGCCATTTTTGAAGAAAAATAACAATCTAATAAGTTACATATACATAGTACGAAAATATTTTTTATTTGATGAGGGGTGGGGTAGGATACCTTTCTGGCAGGCCATGTCAAAGGTCCTTGTGGGTTAATTTTGACTCCAGGGCCACACTTTCGGCAGCCCTGCTGTAGGCCTTTCTGGAAGTCCTAAAGGTGTCACTGATCATGAGTCAGGGTGGTCCTACCAGTGCATTTCAGTCACATGTTACAAATGGAAAACAGTGGCAGCTCTATGTCAGAGCTCTTTACTGAAGGAATCAGTGTAAAACATCTACATATAAGTTAATGTCTGTTACAAGCCTTAAATAAAACATTGTCATTTACAAGCTTCAGATGTCCATGTTTAATCTAGAATGGCCAAAAAATGTTCGAGTGAATCACCATGAGCTTAGCACTGACATCTGCTAGAATCCCATGGGGTACTAGCAGGCATTAGCATTATCATGGTGTTTTTTTCCTCATTTTTCACAGAAATGTGACCTTTATCGCCCAAACTGAAGGCCTAGCTCCAACAGTCACAGTACACCACTGTTATATATACCCTGAGATAGTACAAGAGACATCATTCTACATGGCCAAGCCGTAGTGCCTCAGATCTGTTGACATTAGAAAAACTCATCCTTTCATGCATTTTCATCAGCCAATCCTGTTCTTTCTCTGCCATTATCTCAGCAAGGCTCAGCAAGTCTCTCCGTCTCCGTCTCCCCCACTGCTTCCTGTTTGCATTTCCATCTCTGAAATGAACCGTTTTAAACACTTTGAAATGATGTGCAAAATGCATTGCTTTTCCCCCGGAATTAAGTCAAAGAATTCAAGGCACAGTGCTGCCAAGTTTTTTTTTTCCTTTTCATTCTGCACTGTGATGCAATCTTGTAGTGCAGTGTGCCATGAATACCTGCCTTTGTTTGATTGAACACCTCTGTGGTTGATGCTTATGCGCCAATATGTAAAGAAAAGCCCGGGTGGTCTTCAAAAGCATTAGGGGAGTTCTTCTGTTTTGAGTACAGTCTTCTTCCATGCTCGTTTTCATGTGTTTGACTACAGTGTTGATTGTCTGCCCACAGATATGGGGGACTTTGTGGAGGCTGACCAGCGGAAAACAGTCACCCAGGGCCGGGCCACCATCCTCAACTCACCAGCGGTCTCCTGTTTCCCCCGGCCACAGGTGACGTGGTACAGGGACGGTTATAAGATCATCCCCAGCAGCAGAGTGTAAGTGGAGCTGCGCCGCCCAGCTCATATACTTTTAGATGTTTCTCCAGTCATTTGTTTCTCCATCGTTCAGGTTATTAGAGAACTAACACTTACATATAATGCTAGTGGTGTACATCACTGACCTGAGAACTAGGACTGAATATTGTCAACAACTTCATGATACAGTGCCTATAATGATCCAAGTGTCACAATACGATACAGTGACAGACACCTTAAAATTTGTTTTAAAAAATACAGTAATAATGAATAAATAAAGGATATTGGGGAGAATGATAATGACATTTTTATTAGCATTTACACCTAATTTAAATAACGCAAGAGGAATACATAAAAATTGCCTGTAAAAACTAAATTATAGGAGTGGTTTACTCTGGGGTGCTGGTCAGAGCACAGAGAAGCAGAGGAGTGAACTTTCTGCACTTTTAATCACAAACGCAGAAGCCAGAAAGGCTGCAGTCAGTAGTTTGGCACATACGCATATGTGAGAAAGTCCGTGCTTGTAAAATTATCAGTGAACGACAAAATGTTCACTAACGTGCCACAGATGACACACATCGCAGCAGTGTCCGGAGGATCCGTTTCACCTGCACACTGAAGTGCTGTTTAAAGGTCAGCCATCACTGTATCGATACGTGATATTTTGAAAACAGCCCTGCTGAGAACAATTAGATTCAGTCACGATTGTTTAGATAATGATTCAGTTAGGCCTGTCACAATTTTTACATAATTGCCTAATCACAATTATGTGAGATGTTTGCTGACTGCAGTCATTTTCCACAGTCTTTAAATTTCAGTCATATTATGCTGCAGCTAAAAAAGGGGGCAAATAAATGTAAATAAAAGAGAGTAGTAAATGCACTTAATGAGACATAATTTGACATAACTTATAACTTGGTGCTCTATCATATTTATAGGGCAGTGCTGAGTAATGTTTGTTAGCCAATTCTAACGTTTTTAGCATGTATGCTGGCAGAAGGAGTGTTTTTTGCTCATATTTTCAGTCTTGTGAAGTAAATGTGGCTTTACTTGACTCTACGTATGATTCTCTGAAACTGTAGCTGTTGTATGAGAGTGTGCACATAACAGTGTGGGTGCAGCATTGATTCAAAAGTACAACCAGTGTTGGGTACTGAGTAAACATAGCAAATAAGGTGGCATATTGGTCACTTTAGCCTTGTACTTTAATAGTTGCAAACAATAAACAAGAAAAGATAATTACATTGTTAATCGCAATTATATATATATGACAATTGTTTGTCGGCTAAAATTAACGATTTTGACAGATTCAGTGCATCAAGAAATCTTTAAATTCACAGTGATATTTAATATTTTGGTACATTTCAAAATGATTTTAAAAAATACGATGTGACTAGAACAACTATTTACATGGTTGTGAAATATAGAAAATAAAAATGCACACTGTGTTGCCTGTTATGGTAATTTAAATTTCAAAATTGTTGCAGGTGAATCACCGCCTTCTTGTTTTTACACCCTAAAACAAATTAATCCACAATAACTGTACCACAACAGACCATTGTAGCATAAAATTATCAACTTACTGACAATAACAAAATAATAACTTAAAATATAATTGGTTATATTCTGATGTTTTGGTTTACACTTATCTGAAAAAAATTGACAAATTAGAGGGAGGAAGAGGTTCCGAGTTGTTAGCGACCCGAGGTATGCATTTAATGCTTAAGACGCACCACAGAGCTGAGCATCTGTTCATTGAGAAAGTTCTTAAAGGCACAGCTACTTCATTGGCTGTGTGAGGAACCCCCTCTCATTTTCCTTAGTAGGGGTCCTCTGGTAGAAAAGACTAGAAGAAACCTTTGAAAGGAAAAAGGAACGTCAGCCAGTGACACAAACAGAAGACAGGGGCTTTGGACGTGTGTGTATGTGTGTTTGCCCTTCTTGTCAGAGAAGGAGAAGTGCAATTAATGCCTGTTCCCGGCCGTTCTTTAATCTAACTATGGTAGTTCTTCATTGCCTTTTTCTAATTAGCAGCCTGCCCAGGCAGAGACAGGCACGCTTGATCCGCTCCCCCGTTATTGCTCAAGTGTCTTTCTCATTCTGCCTCATTCCAGCAGTGCCCCAAATCACAGTCCTGCGCACTATCCAGCCATACCTAATGACTCACCTCCTTCATTCCAGCTCTACAAAGGTGGCCCTGTTCGGGAAAAAAGGCATTTGATTCCATCGGAGGGCATAATTGAAAAGTGATTAGAATCACGATGGTAAATTTGGAAATGCACTTGGGCTGGTAATGATCCGCATTCGTTTCATTCCTCTGCAGGCTTCCCGCACTGGGCTTTCTGCTTGAAGTTCACACTGATTATAGGGAGAGAGTTGCGCTCACCTCAGTCAAACTTTCCTTCACAGACAGCTGCCTTGAAGCAGGACACAGAGTCGCCCTGGTGTGAATGTGTATTTTATCCTGAGGTAGACTGGGGATCTCTTTAGTCCAGCACAGAGGAGGAGGATGAGGAACGGTGCTTCAGTAAGCCACAGCCCAGCCCTATAGATATGCTTACAGTGTCCTGGCGTCTCGCCAGCTCCATAATTGGACCAGAGCTCTCCTGCCAGTGCTTTGACACAATATTGCATCAGGACGAAAAGCAGACTCCGTGCTCCAGCAAATGAATATGCCACTGCCAGCCAACGTTAGCAGCTGCGTGTTCACAGCTCTGCGGAAAGCGGAAAGAGGTAGCGCTAATGCTAATGCATTCACATGCTTGTGACTTTTTTACCTGTGGGACCTTGGCAGCGGTCCCAGAAAACGGCAGCCGTCTGCCCCCCAGCTGGACTCAGCAGGCCTCCAGGGACCCAGGCCCACGCCTGACCCTGTGCACACCTCGCGGAGAATGGGCAGCCGAGTAGTATAAGGAAATCATATCCCTGGCCAAGCCCATTAGCATGTTCCTGGACGTGATGTCATGTTCTTAATTGTTCTGTGGCAGCGGCAGAAGCAGTGCAATCAGCTTAGCCATTTAAACTGGCACTACTTGTAGCTGGGCAGAATCCCCAGGAAAGGGTTTTGGAAAATAGGGGCGTACTTCATAAGCAATTGACTCACATGGTGATTAAATTAACTGGCCTTGCAGGATCAAAGTTTATCTGTGTGGGAGGATTCGCAGCCCTGAATCAATATCCACGCGGTGCAACATGCGGCAACGCAAATCTCTTTATGAGTCTCATAAGATATTTACGTCTTGGAATCGAATCCTGCCGCACTGCAAAGGAGACAAATGTCCTCTGCAGAATAGCAGGGCATGAGGAATTGATGCTGGGGTGCTCATTTAGAAATGACCTCGTCTGGCAGTGTGATGCCTTGCCATTAAATCTATTAAAGGCGAGTTTTGATAATGGTTTCTGTTCCCAGTGTACAGAAGATTTCTCTATGGCTTATCTGTGTAAGCACTTCAGAGGAATATGATGCACATATATAGTGCTCTGCTTACATAGCCGAGATTGAATTATTAAAAGAGAATGGATTCATTAGCTTCAGTAGTCTGCAGCTCCATATGAGTAATAACAGTACTAAGGATGTTAGTAGTGGGCAGTACACCGACTAAAATTCTTCTGGTATAAGTTTAGTCATAGTCGTTATACCAGTATGCCACAAATAAATGCAGATAACAAGACATACAAGCAGTGCAGACCATGCTAATGTCAACCCATTTGGCCTGTTTTGGCATTTTACTCACAGCTGAAATGGAAATGCAGCAATCCCTCGATTACCTCCCACTATGTAGTATGTTGCATCTTAAGTAATTCACTTTGTTTTCAATGTGACAAATGAATGGCTTTTTTTGGGGAGGGGCTGATCCTAACTTATACACATTGTTTCCTATTGTACCATCTAAGGAGACACCTGACTCTGTTAGCTGTATCAGATGAGGCCGTAGTCTCGCGGCCTTGTGTGCCAAACAAGCTGTGCACCAGCTGGTACTGAAGAGTGAATGACTATTATTTTTCAAATTCCAGCAGTGTTTGATATTTGGAGACATAAATGTATGGGACGCGTGTATGAGACAAACGACTCGGCTTCTTATTTATATTTTCCATTCTACCTTAAATGGTGCACCAGTTACACTCAGGTACTTGTACAGGTGCCAGAATACTACTACTTCATTTAAAGTGGAATGGTAAATTTGAGCTGGTGAATAAGAAGCTAACTTGAGCTTTGTAAAAATTCAGACATTGCTCAATATTTAGCACTGTTTTTGCCAGACTAACACATGGTGTTAGAAGGCACTATTTTGCACAAGAAAAATATTTTAGATTTATTTTGTTTTTTTATTACAAAGTGAAGGAACGGGGGTGCTAGAGAGCCAACACATGGAGTAGACGTGCTTCTTGCAGTTCCTCCGTGCTAAACACTTCAAAAGTAACAACACAAAACTAACAACAATGGACCTAATGCTTCAGAACTTGTAGATAAAAATGCCACCAAAAAATAAGAAAGTGTCAAAGAGCGCAGAACCTGAGAATCTAGCATCCGCTAAAAATGCTAGCCGAAGTGATGACCCACACTCAGGTGATGAAGAAGATCTCCAGTAAGACCATACAAACTATCGATGAAAGGTTTGACAGGTTTGACCAGTCTTTTCAGTCTCTGCAAGCATCTCAAGAAGTTCTTGTAGAGAAAATCGAAACCATTCAGAGACAGAAACACGACCATGAAGCTCAAATTGGTTCACTTAAAGCGACTCTGACTAAAATGCAAAGTTAAGGGCTTAGAAGGCCGGTCTCACTGCAACAGCATCAAAATAGTTGGCATTCCAGAAGGGGAAGACCAACTGGATTCGTCACTGCCTTAATTCCAAAGCTTTTGACTGAAGCACATTTCCAGAGTCCATTGACTCTGATGAGAGCGTAACCTGGAATACAAGGGCCCCAAGGTGTACATTTTTCCAGATTACACCACAGCCGGGGTGTATGCGTGCGCTGAGACAGCCGAAGGTGGCACACGCACTTCTCTTCCCTGCAAA